TAATATTTATTTACTAGAAGAAAATACACACGCATATATATACACCACGAATCAAATATCTATAAACATTCTAATAAAATAGGTAATTAATCTACCTAATTTAAGCTGAATCCTCTCAATTGTTATGCCACACATTCCAAAATTTATCCCGTTATTATTATTATTATTAATTCTTTTCGATGATTCTAAAAAGGTATCTTCTTTCACCAGTAACTTCTATTCTAACTATTCTAGGCTCCAATATTTTGTTAAAGATCCATACCTGAAAAATATTTTTCCAATTTATCATATCATCATCATTTGATATATGATGGTATGCAATTATTAGGAAATGATGTCCAAAGAGAGAATTGGGTAATTTAAGAAAAATATTTTGCTGTGAGCCTCAATTTTTTTATTATAAATGAAATATATAATTTTTAAAAAATTATGTATTAAGTTATATATTATTCAGACAAAATTTCAGATACCAAGTAAACTACCATCTGAACCTTGAAAACTGTAATGAGATAAATCCATTCTATTGTGAATAATTAAATCCTAAGTTCCGCATCATTATTTTCTTCTAGCGACAACATTTCTATATCAATTTTATCTTTATCATCTTGAACTGCCAAAAAATCTTCAGAAATATTTTCTTATTTTTTAAATTTCGCCAAGTTCACTAATTCAAATAGGTGTATGTATTCAAACTCTGGTAGAAGATTTTGTTGTTTTATGGAATTAAAATAATTATCTGGTTTAGAAACGAATCATCTAAGCCTTGTTTCTTGATCAATTTTATTGTTATAGCGTACCCATTAGACGATACAAGGCATCGAAAAAGAATAACGGAACAGAAAAAATCGGAACTCGAGTCACCAAAATATATTACGAATTCATCAGGTCAAAAACTTCTTTTGGGAATCAATAATAGACGTGAGTGTCTGGATGATGATGAAATAAAGTTGACCAAGCAATGAAAAATTAACGAATCAAGTGCGAAGGAAGATTGGTTAAAGGGGTTGGTAAAGACATCAAAAAATGTATTTTGAATCAGAAATTAAAGTTTTTATTTGATTAACTTGTTTGGCTTTTTATTTTATAAGCCTATACGGTAAGACTTTCATCATATAATTCGTAAACCAACTAATTAACTATTCATCAATTCACTATTTTTT